GGATTGCAGCATTAGAAAGGTTGAGAACCACTGCTCTAAAAGGTGCAATAAAGTAAATTTTAAAAAGTGGAATCTGGCCCCTAAGGAAGGAGTTTGCAAGTTTTGGAAAATACAAGTAATACAAATTAGTATAGGTTTTATTTAAAAAATATATATATAGGTTATACTGGTAACCTATAATAGATATGTTAAACATTATATTCTTAGATCATAGATTAATATAAAATGTTATGTCTAAATTTATTCTAAGTTCATCAATGGCTGACAGAAGTTCAGGTTAAATGCCATAGAGTCAAATTTTATTCTCTTCCGTAAATCCAGAGACACCTATACTCCACACAAACACATTTATTTAATTGGTAAATAGGTATTTTCTGCTTATCTCTCTATCCTTCAGGGTATATTTAAAATCCTTTCTTTTCTCAGTTATCAGCTAGAGAGTTTAGTTCTGCCACCTGATCAGTATAATTATTTATTCAACAAATATTTGTTTAGCTTACTTTGTGTTACATATAGTGGCAGGCTCTGGATATGAAATTATGAAAATCCCCCACGCTATCCTTGCCCTCCTAGCATTTAGAGTCTCAGGAAAGAGATACATGTCCAAGTGGTCACATACTATAATTTCAAATAATGCTCGATGTAGTGAATTTAATAGTGTCACCCCAAAATTCATGTCCTCCCAGACCTCAGAATGGGACCTTATTTGGAAATCAGATTTTTGCTAATGTAATCAGTTGAACTCACATGATTTCAGTGATTGGTGTTTTGGTAAGAGAAAAGAGAAAGATTCAGATAGAAAGATAGAAACAGAGGGGTAAGAAGGCATTTTGAGGATAAAGACATAACCTGGAGGGATATGACCACAAGGCAAGAAACACCAAAGACATGAGAAGCTTGGAAAAATCAAGGAAGGATTCTTCACAAGAGCCTTCCAAGAGAGCATGGCCTCTGGTACTTTGTTTTAGGAACTCTAGCCTCTAGAAGACTGAAAAAATACATTTCTGTTATTTTAAGATACCAATCTTGAGATAATTTGTTATAGCAGTCCTAGGAAGCTAATACAATATGTATTCAATTGAGCCATAAGAAATTGACCATTTTTGACCTACACAAACAACAATATATCAATAGTTCAACCCAGTATGCTATAAGGAAGACTTTGTTGGTCACTGAAACCTTCTCTGGAGAACTGGTAATGGAACTGAAATCAGAACAACAAGTAGAAACAGTTGATGAAGAATAAAAAGAAAGGGGAAGAGAAGAGCTCCCAACAGAGGGACCAGCATGTGCAAAGCCTCTGAGGCAGAGGGTCCAGACACTTTTGAGGAACTAGAAGAAGATGACATGCAGGCAGACGGCCAGATGAGGCTGGACAAATAGGGAGTAGCTAAATCAGGCACAAACTCAGAAAGACTGAGAGTGTTAAGAGCAATGGACCACCACTGAAGTGTTTAAGCAAGAAGGTGAGAATACTTCTAGGACCACAGAGTGGAGAACAGATTCAAAGGAGCCAAACCAGATGGGAAGACTATGGAAGGGAGTACAGGAGCCCAGGTGGTATGTTTGACCACAAAAAGTATGAGTAGGGATCTAGAGAATGGACACACATAGAGGGTTTTAGAAAAGAGCCTCATGCTTTTGTTTTTATGCTGTGTCCTGATTAATATACCATATGCTCTTGTGTCTTTTGAACATTTAATTCTCATAAATGTGCCTACCAGTGGTGGTACCTATAGATCCCCAATGTTGACTAACAATTAGGTGTAGCCATTCTCTCCCCAAGAAGTCTCTGAAAGTAGAAGTAGCATCTTTATTTTTATTTTTTTCTTATTTGTCTCTTTGCTCCTCACCTGTGCACCCAGCACTTTGTTTATATCTTGGCTAGAGTAGCTCTTCTAATTTATTGTCATAATCTGTTTTTATAACCATCTGTTCATTATAATGTGGGTTCTGTGAGGGCTAATGCTGTGTCTTAGTTATTTTTCTAGCCCCAGAACTTAACAATGACCTGGCCTCTAGGATTTAATTTATAAGTGACCGCGTCAATGTATAAATAAGTCTGTCAGCAAATGCGTGAACTAATTACCTTAGTTTTGCTCTATCTTCTCAGCTTTTTCAGGTCTATTTCTTTGACCTTATATAATTATCTTTCTTTCTGGTCTGACTTAACTTACTAACTGCTTTTTCTTTTTTGTCTACTCTACTTACCCTGTAATATTTTTCTCCTGGTTGTGTCAATGAGCTTTTAGAAAATAAGTCTTTCTTTCATGAACATCTTTGTTTATGTATGGAACCCTTTTTCTAATCGCCTACATCTCATGGACATGTTAGTCATTTGGTTTTGTGCCTTTGGGAGCTAATCCTTTATCACTGTCATTATCATAGCCATCAAATTATTGAGAACGTGCTGTGCTCAGTGTTCCATTTAGGGAGGGAGGAAGGCAATGAGCAGGAGAAGCCCCTTCCATAAATGAGATTACCATCTATGACAAGAAGCCAGACAAGCCACAGAGTTAAATAAAACATACAAATGGCAAAAGTGAATTGTTTCTGTTATATAAAACAAAGATGTTAGCTTTTGTAGCACAATGAGAAAAAGGGGCACATTTCTCTGATCTAGAGATGAAGCAAATAATCTCACTATGCGCTCACAACCAATTGGACAACTGAGCCAATATATTGTATTAAAATTGGGATGTTCTCCAAAAATGCAGCCTCGTGTTTTCTCTGGTCAGTTAGGATATCCCCAATATGGGTACAAGGCAGCTGCCACCTATCTTCCTATTATAAGAACTCTTCTGGTAATATTTCCACAAATACAAGACAAATTGTAATTATTTTTAAAAAGTATGCTCAACAAAGGATAAGAAGCTGATGTCTTTGGAATCATGCTTCCCTAACCCGGCTAAAAAGGCTGCCTGAATTAGATGTACCCTACATACAGAATCCATGTTCAAAGATGCAGTTTGCAGAGTCAGGACAGGAGAGAGGATAGATTCCATGTGTAGAAAGGTCAGAGAGGAAGGGAATGGTCAAGAGCAGTAAGGAAGGGTCTCAAGAGAAGCCATTTGTGAGAGGGGAAAATAGGGAGGGTGAGAAAGAGTGGAAGCCACTACATCTCTTTCAAGTCAGAATTCTGCCAGCCAAGTCCATTCTTACGATGTCTCCTTAGCTCAGCATTGGTTCCAGTTTGTAATGGTAAGCCATGGTTTCCCTGATTTGTAGAAATATAAAAACCAATCAGAAAGAATATATGCACCCCAATGCTCATAGTAGCATTATTTACAACTAGTGGCGGGTGCGTGAAATTTGTGCACACTGAAAGAAAATTAGAGGAAATATTTTAATATTGCTATTTGTCCTTCCTCTATAATAGAAGTGTCAGAAGTGAAAGAAAATGAGTAAAATGTATATGAAAGTGTTCCTCCTGTCAGAGTCTGGGGCATGCTGCAGGACCCACAGTCAAGTCCCCGCCCCCACACACACACCTTGAAATTGCGTGAGACCCAGACCAGGCCGGCCCCACCCCCATCAAGCCTCCCTGGGCAGGGGGCACAGCCTCAAGTTCCCCTGTTCCAGCACCAGGTAGGGGGTGCAGCCTCAGGTCCCCCAGCACACACTGGGCAGGGGGGCACAGACTCTGGTCCCCCCTGCATACCCTTAGGTCCCCCCGCCCAGGAAGAAGGGGATGGCCTGAGGTCCCCTGGCTGGGCACTGGGCAGGAAGCATGCTTTGAGGTCCCCTGTCAAGCCACACAGGGTGGGGTCATGGCCTAAGGACCCCAGTCAAGCCTCGCTGGGCGAGGGGGGGCGGCCACAGCCTCAGTTCCCCGACCCCAGCCCAGTGCCCCACAGCCTCAGATCCCTGCTGATTGCTCATTATGGGAACACAGCCTCTGCTGGGGGCACAGCCATCTTGTGACAGCATGAGGGTTAATTTGCATATTACCTCTTTATTATATAGGATAGCTAAGAGTTGGAAGGAGCCCAAGTACCCATCAGTAGACGAGTGGATAAAAAAGCTGTGGTACATTTACACCATGGCCTTCAAAAAGGAGATCTTACCCTTTTGTGACAGCATAGATGTACCTGCTAAGCGAAATAAGCCAGTTGAAGAAAGACAAAAATTGGGTGATCTCACTTACATGTGGAATCCAATGAACAAAACAAAATAACAGATCTCAATATAGAGGAGGGTGGAGGGGGCAGGAAGAGATTAACCAAAGAACATATATATGTGTGTAACCCATAGACATAGACAGTAGTGTGGGGAAGGCTTGGGGGAGGGCTTGGGTGGAGTGAGGCAAAAGGGGCAAAATGGGGGACACCTGTGATACTGTCAATGATCAAATTTTTTTAAAAAAATGTTTAAATTATCTTAGAGAAAAATACATGCCTACATACCACTTGCTTATCATTTCCTGTAGAGATACTTAATGGCACATAATGTAGTAATTCCCGACCATCTTTTTTACTATATAGAAAATTCTTCTGTGTTGTTTCCATTTTTAGCTTTTCTTTGTAATCTGCTACAATAACTGACCAATTTTCTTCACATTTTCCCTCTTTTAAAATATTACTACTTAGGATTTTCATTTATTATGTTATCCTTTGGATTCTAATTCTAGCACACATTTATAAAACATGTTATTGTTTAGCTATATTAGTAGTAAATAAGTCAACAATAAAAAATGTTTAGTGCAAAAAGGGGCCTACATATGGGAATAAAATCACATACATTTTTTTTTCTAATATTTTTTTTTTTCTGGTTTAGATTTTTGTTTAGTTTTAGTTTTGTTTTTTTTTCCTGAGCTCAGTGTGAGCCCTCAGAGCCATCGAGGGCATGGATAGAAGTATGCTTGGTAGTTCTTTGCTGCCATCTACTGTGTCTTCATGCAACAACTCCTGTTTCTTTGATACAAAAAATTCCATAATCTATGACTTACAGTACTATAGTTTCCTCCCTTTTCTCCTTCTTTCTATTTTCTTTTTCTTCAGTTAAAGCAAAGTGAAGCAAATGCAGACACCAAAGAAAAACTCCCTTTGCGCCTTCGAATCTTCGAGAAATTTCCAAACAGACCACAGATGGTGAAAATCTCAAAGCTTCCTTCAGATTTCACAGTTCCTAAAATCAGGTAGGAATGTATTTCTTCGTTTATCTCAAATACACTGTCAATGACCCATCTTACATCTGATTCAGCTCTTCTTTCAAACTCATGTGGGTATGGATTTTTTAAAGTTATTCTTTGCTAGGAACCCAGTGCGCAAAATCACACAGTTCCACCCACCCTCTGGCGGCCTCCCTGCCTTGACACCAGAACCTCCCCAAGCAGAGCTCCAGCGCCCTGGCCCACCCCCTGACCCCTCTGGCTTTCTCTGACCGCTTCAAGCCCCGCCCTCAGGCCCTCGGGCTAGTCCTGCCTCCTCTGGGAACCTCCCTGTTTCTGCCTGTCTGGGGAGCAATGCCCCTTTGTACACATAGGCAGCCTCCTGCGATGAGGCTTTACACATTACAGAGTCCCAACCATTAGCATATTAGCTCTTTATTATTATGTTGTTTCTACTCTACCTGTGTTTTCAAAACCATTGACCCCTTTAAGCAGTATATTCAGAGCAGTGTCATCTGACAAGTACATTAGCCTTAGCCAGAAGGCTGCTACCCACTGCTCCTCCCTGAGATGCTCCTCAGGGATTTGACTTCCCATGTAACTGGCAAAGGTCATCGAAGGTCACAGAGATAGCAGATAGACATCCACCTCTGACCCTCAATGGAGGCCCTTCTATTTTCAAATCCACAGAGAAATAGCACTGGCCGGTTTCCGTACTACTGTAACAGCATTTGTGTAGAGTGCCATGTCTGATTACAATATAATTTGTCTTCCACCTTTTGGTAGAAGAACCATGGCATTACCCACTCACACCAATTTGATTTTCTACCATTTTGCCCTCCAATTATGCAGTTGCATAGGAGATGTTTTAAAACACTTATTTTTTAAAAATTAAAGGAAATTCTTTTAGTTATAGGTCAAAAATTACAACAGAAGCAGGGTAATATGAAATGTGACCTTAATATATAACTGGTTTTAAAATACATTCTATGGAGCCGTTATAAAAGTGTGATACTAGAGGTGGTACAATAATATTTAAAATTCAAATCGAAATATATTTTGCATTTCTGATTTTTTTTTCATTTAAAAGCTGAAAATATGAGGAATAAAAGAGATGTAAATTAGATACAAGACTAGTGATTATTTGAAAAGATGCTATTTGAATTCTCACCGTGCTGTAGAGATCAGATGAAGTAATTTTTTTTAATTATTTTGGGTCTTTAAATGCAAAATTATCTCTCAGAGATTCTTAAGATGATTGGGAGTTCAGAGAAATAAGCTAATTCTTTCAAGTCTTGAAAGGGGGAAAAGTATCTTACTACCACAATAGGATTAAAAGAAACTATGAATTGCAAAATTTATAGTATATTTTAAAAGTTATTTCAGGGACATTACCTTTTTAAAGCAGGAGTGACCAAGATTTAATAAACTTTCTCTAAATTCATTACTTTGGTAATTAATCTACACACTGCTCTTGCTATGGCATATCTTGTTGTCTACGAACTTTGCCATTGCTTTATTGTAGCTAAAGCAAATTGCCATCACTTGCTCCATCAATAATGCTTCATGTATGTCTACTTCCTTTGCAAAGGGAAAGTTTTATGAAGCAGTTTATTGATCGCCAGCAGCAGGACTCTTGCTGCCTCTTAAGAAGCCTTCCGTCAGCCTCTTCCTCATCCTGTGATCACTCCAAAAGGTCGGCAATTGAGGACAACAAATACATTGACCAAAAAGTAAGAACCATTGTCTCTGCTAACCACATTTTTCTTACGTGCATATGTTAGAGAACAAAACCACAGAACTGTGTGGAGTTCTGAAATCAGGAAAATAATGAAGAAACATTTATTTGTAGGAGGAATCATTTTACCTACCATTGTTAAATTTACAAATTTCAATGTTGGATGTCTATAGGTGCGCATTTGAGCCATGCCATGTAGCAGAAGTGTCTTTTTGGATAGGTCTGTTTCCTCCTCTAACCTGCATTTTCTCACCTGCAGCAGGAAGAGCTCAGGGCCCTAAGGTTCAGCCCAGGTTTAACGGTTGCCTGTATGTTGCCTTTTGCCAGAAACCATGCTTATTTCAGTTGTTATACACCAGGAGAATAGCCAGAGCAAGTTTCTCTAAAACCAGTCAAAATAAATACCACTTAATGAGTGCTAAGTAAGTGGCAGGAATTTTCCAAGACACATTATCTTACTCAGGCTGTGATTTACTTCTTTGTCATTTGAAAAGTGATATGATTTTTTTCTTCTTATATTCCACTGTTAGAACATGAAAGATGAATGTTTAAATGAGATTAAAGATGAGAGCTTGCAAAGGCATTTAATTTACTTGCAAGTATTTCTCCTCAAAGTCTTAGTGTGTTTTTTTTTCGTTCCCTTAAATCCTGATGCCCTTTTTGTTTATAATCAAATACATATTTCTCTATCATTATGTGAAAATAAAATACCAACTCTTTCATTCTCCAACATTCTCTATTTCTTCCCCCCATTACCCTCCTACCCCATAAGGATCATATTATCAGAATACCTTCACTTTTCTCTTCTCCTTCTTTCCCACCATCCCCTACTCAAACTTGAACTTCTCAACACGTCTGTTCTTGTTCAAGTATTTTTATTTACTTACTAGAGGCCCGATGCACAAAATTCATGCAAGAGCCTTGGCCCCTACCACCTCTGCAGCTTTGTCCGGAAGGAAGTATGTCCAGTCTAATTAGCATATTACACTTTTATTATTACAGATTGTCTTTCAATCATCAAAGGATATCATTCTTCTATATTATAGATTCCAACATTATAGATTGCAAACCTAATGCCAATATCTTTTCTTTTTTCACTTGAAAGTAATTAGATTTATGTATTTGTTGGTTGGTTTTCTGATTTCTTTGGGGAAGCTTGTAAGATTTCCTGAGCATCCTTAGAGTTCAGAACTTTACTGTGATATACTTTGTATGTCTTTTATCACTTGAACTGTCCAAACTTGGGAGTCTTCTCAGTTGGCAGACTAAGATATTTGTCAGGAAAATGTTTATTATTTCTTCAATTATTACTTTTCCATCTACTTTCCCCCACCCCCTCATTTTCTCTTATAATTGGTGTCTCTCTATTTTTCTTCTATGCTTTAAAATATTTGTTTAGCTTGACCTTCCAGGTCAATAATTTCATCTCAACTAAGATCATCCTTTGCCTTTAAATTTTGAGTGAAAAGTTATGAAATGTGTGTGCACACATATGCACATACAGTACTTTTAACCATCTTAAAGACTTAAACTTTTTATTATTATTATTATTATTATTATTATTTATTATTATTATTAAATACGTCTCTTTTTATCCTTTACATTATATTTCACTTAATACTATGTATAGGGCATGGATACAAAAGTTCATATGTCAGCTGATAGTCTAGTGAGAGGATAAAATAGCCTGGTTTCATCCAATGAGTCTGAAATTGCATTTTATATAGTAGCATTTTATTTATTTTCTAAATTTTATATCAAAAGATGTTAAGCCAGAGGTGTGCATTGAAACCTCACATAGGGTTGTGACCAGCTCTCTTCACGAAGAAAGTGGTGAGCTGATATCATTTATGCCCAAAGTGTCAAATCCAGAACATGCTTTTTAAAAATCACTGGTAACATTATCCCACAGGAATCACAAAATTAAGTTATAGTCCAGAAAATTTATTTTCTCTCTAAAAGGAAACATAATGTTTCTCAAAAATTTGAACAGCATGATTTGAGATAGGTAAGGAAAAAATGTAAAAGATTCTTGGCAGGTGTGGAGAGTTGTGGGTGGAGATTAAGGAGAATTTGTTGTACCTTTTTGTGTGCCACCAGCATCCCTCCCACGGCTCTTTGTCTTGGGTTACACTCAGAGAACTTCATATGCCATTTCCGATTTCTTTGTGTCCTTATATTTTGGGGGCTTTTAAAAAAAATCTTCTCATTTAACAGTTATCTTTAATTAACTGAAAGTAAGAGGATAATTATAGTTGTATTCTGTAATCTTATACTTGAGCCTCCCTCATAATCTCCTAAAATACAACGAACTGGCAATACACTGCTTCTTGGTGATATCCAAGTGACTTAGCATCTAGAAGAAACTAGAATTGTTGAAGAGGGCTGGCAGTCCCCAATCTATAAGGTCAGTTGACTGATATACACAATACATGATCTTACACAAGAAAAATTGTCAATGATGGTTAGGCTGCCCTTCATTCTCAAGTAAGCCTAGCTGGGATAATATGGTTCATCTCCTTAACAGCCTGCATGATCTGGGTAAATGCTCCAAGGCAGAAAGTGGGATATAGAGAACGTATTTTCTCTTCATCGTAGTGGCTGCTACCCAGTGTGGCAGCAGCAAGAAGACCTACCATGTGGCCATCTATTCTTAAAGCTTAGGTTGCCAGAAAAGTAAACTTAACATCTTTCACTTCAGCTCCATCAGTTACTGGAGTTCTTCGTAAATATTTAGGACTCATCATTATTGTTGAGTGCCATTGGACCAGACAATCCCACCTACTGAACATCAGTGGTGATGATTTGCAGGAAGCAGAAATCAAAGACAAAGCAGTTTGGTATTTTCACTTCTTAATATGGCAAGCCTTTTTCACTTTTATTAAGAAACCCTAGAGCCACTTAAAAGCAAAAATATATAAACACCAACAAAAATCCTGGACAGAGTTTAGCTCCCCAGTAACATATTAGGAAATTTCCATTACAATCCTAGTTGTCTTTGGAAATGCCAGTCAGTGTCATATGGATGATGGCAAGGCACTTCACTTTATGTGAAAAAAATTCTTCCAACACCGTGCAACACAAATTGAGACTTTTTCCTCAAAGAGTGGTAAGAAATAAAAAGAAAATTAAAGTCTGGCTTATCAGTGATTCTATAATATGACAAAGAAACAATAAAATAAAACATTTCCCTTAATGATTACAGGAAAGGGGGAAACTTCACTACACTACAGGGAAGCACTTATGCCAGGAAAAGCAGAGTCCCAAGAACCTAAAGATCACAAGTGAAGGGGGGGGGGGGGAAGAAAGAACAAACCTGACAACAAAAGCTAAGGGAAAGGGAGAGTGAGAGTGATTAAGCAATGCAGGAAACACAAAAGCACATGTAAAGCAAGATTTTCTCAGAGTAATTACCCGAGGTTTAAACTTCCAATAAACAATTCCTATGGCAACCTCACTTTGCAGAGACCATGCTTTTAAAATAGTCATGTTCAGTAACCTTTATCATATGATTTAAAATACTTGTTCTTCTCCTTGTAAACAATAAGCAAACAAAAATGTGAAAAACCTTAAGCCATTGTTGTGGCCTGCCCAGATCCTACAGAAAGGATAAATCTGCAAATCTTGAGAGGAGTTTTTCTAGTCTCCAAGCAGAAGGAAAAAGTCAATGGTTTTCTACCTGTTTTTTTTTTCCCTCCATATTATTGAGATTACAGGTTTCAATAGGTTTATTAAGTTGAATGCTTGTTAATAAAGAGATGAAACTTGGCTTTTGAATAACTCTAGTTAACAAAAGCAGCCCAGTCAGTCCTCAGATGTGAATCATCTCATCAAAGTCAAGATTCCATTATAGTTGGATCAGGGCATTCAAGCTGTTCTTTAACTGAGCTACATGATCTTTCTGTCCTGCTGTCCTGGATGGCATGCCATTTCTGGTATCAAAATCTACAACGGCCTGAAGAAAATGAATAAACTTACAGTTATATCAGTCTGAGGCACACAGGGAGGGATCAGGGTTGTCTCAGCCAATTCCTATACAGTGCCAGAACCCATATGTTTAACAGTGAGTATTTCTCAAATATTCTGCTCTCTCTCTTATGATTAGTGAGCATTTGGTCCCCTCTAAAACATCCATAGAGACATTTGATCTGCACAGTTAGTAAAAATCTCACTCTTCTGCAACATTCAAATGCCTACCCCTCTACCTAACCCATGTGCTGTTACCATCTAGGCTACCAAGGCCAGAAGAGTTGTTATTGACAATACAGCCACAACACAGTTATTGGACCAATAAAACATGATGGTGTTTTTATGGATTAATCCTGTTAACCAAAAGTATAAATAAATCCTATATTTGAACTCAAGAGGCAGTCTGTGAGCAGAAGGTGACCTGCCGGTGGGGGTATTAGGCCCTAAAGCCAATTTCCAGAGATTGGGAAGTCACCCTTTCTTAGGAGCTAAACAGCCAGCCAGTATGGCTCATTGGTCAGCCAAACAAGGGCCTGAGGAACAGCTGAAAATAGTCACTTGAACAAGGGTTGGGATCCAGTGACCAACTTAAAATGATCATATGGCAAGTGGTCAAAGGATAGGGGACAGGTGGACAGCTGGAAGTGCTGAGGTGACCAAGGATATCGGCAGAACTGATGTTTACCTGGGCCATGAGACAGGGCCTAAGTCCTTCTTATGGGAGAAGAAAGATTGAGTGATACAGGAGGAAGGTGGTCCAGGTAAAGACAGCTCAGCATCTCTGCAATGTGGACGGTCACGAAAAGCATAATATGCTTGACGTGTGAGAAGCAGAGCAGAATAGAGATGGAGTAATATGGCTTTCAATCCTCATCTATAACATATATATTTTTATTTTAAAGGTTTTTATGATGATTTAATCATATATGTTAAGTGCACCTAGCATATGTCAGAAAAGAAAAGTTACTGATATTGAATTATACTGTGAAGTCAGACTCAGCAAATAGACTTATATTAGTCAATCCA